TATATTATAATTTTTTTTTATCCGTGACCTACACTTTAAATTATAGCTGTTTACCCAGAGACCACCACTTGTTTTGTCTTGGATAGATCTGTATAAGGTACTCCCTACGATGTTAAACCCCTTCAGCTTATATCTCCTTTTAGTCACAGTTGCCCTTTGGTGATGCTGTTTAATTTGACAGAGGCATAACCTTCAGCTTTCCCTATCATAAGACAGCCCAGATTTTGCAGGAGTGTAGAAAAGCAAATGTGGTTCTATTTGTGGCCAGATTTGGACAAAACTGGTCTGAGAACCTTAACCTCAGATAATTCCAATCAACTGCCTGCAGAATGAATTATATAACTGAAAAAGAATTGGCAATTTTTAATGTCACACTAAACTCAGGAGTTAAATCTTTTAAAAATGCAATCAAATACCTTTTAACTATTAACACACATGTACCTTATTTGTGTATCACTCGGCTGTAGATCCTCAAATCATCTCTGAATTGGTGCGGACACTGTCCTTCCTTCCAACACTATGCTGGCTACTACTTGTTGAAAAGTAGCCACCACTCCAAGCTCATTCTCTTGTTGGATTACAAGCATAATACAAATTCATCAACTAAACATGAGATTGTAGTCCATCACGGAAACAAGCTTGGAGCGGTGGCTACTTTACAACACACATGGTTACCATGGGGAACAAATAATAGTTAAGATATTTGAATGCATTTTTATGATATAACTCCTGAGTTTAGTGTCAAAAATCGTGGGTTTACCATCACTCCCCTATTTGTCTGGAAATATTGTGTTCAATAAATAGGCATCATAAAATAACTTTTTGAAGTAATGTTTCTTTTTGTGCATCCATTTCACTTGATGGGTACATATCGCTCATTAGACCTCTTACTTTTTTTTATTTTTGTTTTCCCTCAGAAAGAGTTTTGGAAAGAGTACACCAGAGGACATGGGGATTCGAGTACTGACAGCAACTGGTATCCATTTTACCTGGCCTTCCCTTTAATCACGGTCTTCTTTGTTGTTGCTCTGGTTCTCCTGCTATTGTGGAAGTGTGTATTCAGAAACAAAGCATGTCGGAGAGCTGCATATGCCACCAGAGGTGCAAGAGAAAATACATCTGAGACTGGAGATAACGAAGGAGTTTCAGGTCGTAGTCAGCAGCACTCTAATGTCTTGTGTACTATGGAGGAGGCTGGAAACCCCAGTGGATTTGAATATGATGTGCGCTCAGATACGTTGTCAACTGGATTTTCTTCAAACTGCGACCTGCCACCTTCCTATGAGGAAGCCACTGGAACAAGGGGGGTGAGAGTAAGCGAGCCACAGCAAAGTCCCAATGAGCCACCACCACAATATGAAGAAATTGCTACTTGTGCCTCTGTAATCACAATACCTCAAGAGGGGACAAACAGTGTTAAGTAGCATAGAAACATATTTTCAATTTTTTTTTTTTAATTTTTATTACAAATGAAGACTTTTTCTGTACAATAGCATTTGGCTCTGGACTGATTTTGACATTTGAAACATTTTTTTTTTAAGAGTATAGGTATACAAGGTCTATATCCCCTGTAAGAACTGCTCAGATGAAGGGTGAATATTGCTTTTAGATAAATACAATGCACTGTACTGTTATTACACTAAAATGACAAAATGCTGCATATTTTATTTAAACCAGTACTTATTTTTTTTGGTCTTACTGCAATAATTTTGCCTGTGGGGGTTATACTGATATTACAATACAATCATTATTAACCTAACTACATTTTTAATGGGTTTAAATAAAATGGCTTATTTTCATGTGTGCCTATTTTTCCTAATTGCTGTATTTTTTTGAAAGTGGCATACAGTATACAATTTTGACCTCAAAAATGTTTTTTATTTTCCTTAAGTATTTATCAGTATGAGTTCGTACATATTCAACTCCAATATTTTCCTGTAAGTTACTGTGTGCTTGGCTCATACCACCCATTCCCACCACTACCAACACTACTCTTCAGTAATAGCACGACCTACATGCACAACTTGGACTTCTGGTTCATTTCTACAACATATATTGGTGCCTTTTTTCTTTTAGGTATAATCTGTGTAAGTTTATATATAAATATAACAATTTTTTTTAGTAAGTTCAAACTTTTTTCTGAACTATTCCAATTTGTTTTTTAATAGTAATGGCATTTCTTGTACATTGTAAATAGTTTTTTATAGGTTTTAACCACTAGCATTTTACATTAATGATTGGCATCTACTAATGTTTGGGTCATAAGGTATGTCTTATCCTTTTTAAATAAAGCTTTCCTTGTAATGAGATTAAACCTGAGTTTTGGTCTGATCGGTTTGATTTAAGGTGTTTTTTAATTTTTTATTATAGCAAAATCCTAGCTGTATATCCTATAAACATCACATACCAATCGGATACCTATACTCTCCATAATATGATCCTACTTGTATAGAAGATATTGTTCTCTAAGTGCATTTAATTTCAACTTTCTAATGGAGCACTGCTGTGTAATTAAAAAGTATGATGGTGCCTTTGGAAAGGGGCTGGTAATCTCATCAGAAAAGAAATATGGTCAAACCTGTTTTGTTGGCTGAAGACTTCTGCAGCCAGAAGAAGCCGGGTTGAAAAGATTGGCACCGGCAAGGTAGCTTGTGGAGCTAAGTTTTTGCAGACTTTAATTCTGCTCTGGGGTTTTTTTTTTTTCTTCTGTAATGGAAGGGCAGAGCTTTACTTTGAAGAGTAAAAATGCATACCCTTAAATTGAGCTAAAACCCATGTTGAATTTGTAAAGTAAATCAGTAGTGACTGAATGTCTACTTCGATTGCTAACAACCATCTGAAAATGGTATTGCTAACAACCATCTGAAAATGGTAGTTATCTGCCTGTTGTATTGACCATCTGGTTTCAGAACTTTAGGTTATATGTATTTCAGGAAAGGCAGAGCCTTCACATACTTACTCGGAGTCAGTTATTCACAATATTAAAGCCATAGGGTCAGCAGGACTGTCAGGCAACTGGTTATTTTTAGAATGGACAGTAGTTTTGGCTTTCATGTGTCTCTTTTTTACTTTACCTTTTGAGGCACCATATAAAAAATTATGGCATAAAAAATTTGGCCAAACACAAATTTTGTTCTGCGAGTGACAAACATGCTCAAATCAATACAAATGGTTGCTGAAACGGATCTTATGCATGCAAGCATCACAGTATTCCTTCAAAGATGTTGCTTATGCTGTGTTCTGTGTACATCAGGACATTCCTCTACCTCCCTACAGGAAACCAGCTCTTGGGTTGGGGTGTTAAAGGGTTATTAAACCCTCACGTTTTTCTGCATATATCTACTGCTAGCAAAATCACTATTTCCTACATGCACTCCAAAGGTTTCAAGATTCAAATTCGAAGACATGATTTCTAGTTTTCAGTTACAGGTGTGAGACATGTTAAATGTTTTTCAAGCCTCTTTTCAGTTGCTATTCCACCAGGCCCTTCTATAGTGGTTCAGGTGAAGCAAGATGCACCAAAACCAAAGTAGTCATATTCAGATGCTGAACCTGTGGAAGCTGATGCAGGAAGTGAAGGGGGTAAAGCTGAGCATAGCAGTTATGAAGCTTAACCCTCTAAAAAATAAAAGCATTTTTTCTACAGATGACTTATTAACATCTATCTCTCCCATTCAAGGAAGCTTAAAGAATCATGCTGTAGAAAATAATGTATACAATAAACATATCATTAAAGCATGCATGGGGGCTGATTCAGTAGCCACTTTATCCCCTATGTGATTGGCAAAATATTTGAGGATTAGGTTTAAATGCTTGAAAAAACCATAAAAAAAGAAGGCTCTCTTAGAGATGGGGTTCTGGCGTTTCTGCCCGTTATTAAAATGGCTATTGATTTTCTGGAAGACGCTTCTGAAGGGTCCACAAGAAGGACTGCACAAGTTGCAGCCCTATCTAACAGCCTGTAGAGCTTTATGGATACATGCTTGGGATGGGACATTGGTGATAAAATGGGGCTTTTTGTGATGTCCTTTTGAAGGAGAGTCTATATTTTTCGATTTGGCTTCAATGTAGTGTTAGTGCACTACCTGCAACACTTTTGTTACACACTTATTTGGATGATCTGGAAATCGTGAGTTGCCCATCAGGCAAAGTGTTGTTGGCTGCAGTCTCTTCCTAAGATTGCCATGCCTCAGCTAGATGTTAAGGAGGTGGGGGAAGTTTAGACTTACAGTATACCAATAATTATGGCAGACTACTCATCCTTTCCAAAATGGACCACAATTGAGGAGATGAAAAAGCCAACTGATGGTATTTTTAATCTCTTATATGCTTCCTTTCTTCTCAAGAGTAGGCTCTCAGTTGGCTTTTGTGGAAAACACAGTAAGATTAATCCTAGACATTTTTATGTAATGAATAGAGGGTAATGAGCAGGGATGAGATTCAGATAAACTCAATGACTTTACAGGATTCACTCTCACCTTGAACAGGGCAATTTTGGACAATTTTGCAGAGGGTACTTTTTGTATAATCCGGTCCCTGTCAGAAAACCCAAATAGACCCGGCAGCTTTGTTCAAAGATTTTCCAATCGGCTCCTTCGATGCCAGCCGAAAGGGTGCTGACAGCGGCTCTCAGTCTGTCACTTTTGGCTGGTTGGCTTGGCCGAAATTCGCATAATGTACGGCCAGCTTTAACACTGATTTTCTTAGGAGGAAGCCTTACTGTAGCGCCCTATATTGCCTTTGGATCTGTTGCTACTTCTGCTGATCACGTATAGCTAGATAAAAACACGTGTGGCTGCTAAAATTACCTGAAAAGGTTTTTTTGTTTTGTTTTTTTTACTGCCTTAAAGTGGACCTTTACCCCCTTTCACTAAAAATGACATCAGCATTCAGATTTAAAATCCTATTACATTCATTAAACATGTTTTATTTACTCACAAATAGAGTTCATCTACTTCCTGGTCCACTTCTGGCTCAAATGATGTGCCAGAGCATTGCATCATGGGAAGGTTACATCAGCAGAGCATTGCTAGGAAATCTCATCTGTAAACTCATGAGATCGCAGGGAAAGGCATTTGCCTCCCCTGAGATGATGTGCATAGTCACATGTCCTAGTCACATGTGCCAGAGTTCTGGGAAGTAAAGGTACTTCTAGTAATCTGCCCTTAGTAAAAATGGCCACTGTCAGACTGGAAAGAAAAGAGAAAGCCTGCAGTTATTGAGAAGTATGAGTTTGTAGATTGTCATTACTAAACATTTCTAAAGGTGTGTTTTGTTATTTTGAAGATATAGGTAAAGTTCCATTTTAGGTAATTGTATATTGGGGTGCTGCTGCTGCTGTCTGTAAGCAAACCTGATTGTAGAAAAATTAATTTCACAGCCAGCAATACGCTGCCAATGTATGCTGTAACTGAGGATGGCCCTGCAAACTATACTGGTTCCTGTAACACCACATTCAGCTCTAAGGTATCCCCCACCCAACCCTGTACCACGCAGTGCCAGACTGTGTCTGCAAAAAGGGTTGCAGCAACGATGTGGGTTATTTGTGCATGACAATTTCTGCCCAGCATGGGGCCTACCATTGCTGACCTCGTTCTGAAAATGCTAGTTGCCTGGTTGTCTCCAGATTTTATATTTTTACCTGCAACCAGCTTGTAGTTTAGAAAATTCAGTGAAGTCAGAACTCTTGATCTGCATACTTGGTCTGAATGCTTGACTGTGTATGGAAGCTTCTGGGGAACTGTTATTTTTAAAAAGAGATGTCTGTTATGGTAGCTTCCTTAATTCCTCAGTAATGGTTTCCGTCAGTGTTTATCGGAGCTAAACAATGTATAAGGTGTCCTGTATAATCTTGATTTATGAGCTTCCAAATCTTTACGGTGACGACTAAAGCTTTGGTTACACATATACATCCAAATAGGCTCCAATAAGCCCTAAAGTTTCATGAAGCAATGGAAAGTGTTCCAAAAGAAATGAGCTCATTATTGTCATGCAAAACTGCCTAGATCGAGTGAGGTTTGTACGCCATTTCAGTGTTTTTATAAGACATCTTAGCATTAACACAATGCCTGTGTGTAGATTGTGCTGACATTATAATAGGCAAAGTGTGCATATTCTCATTTTGCCTCCAGATTTACATTAACTAACAGTCATTTTTTACTAGTGTTGGAGTGTATAGCAGCTAGCAGAAAATGTGTTGTCACTCCAGATATCAAGTTTATTTATGAGCTTTGTAAATGGAGGCCTCTGCTGAGCTCATCAAGTCCAGGCTGTAAGCATTCAGGGATTTATCACCACCTACCATGTTCCTTCATGAAGTATCAATCCTTTATAGTTCCACGTTATGTCAGACATTCTGCATTAATGTAAGCAGTGCATAAAAGCAGCATGTGCTACAGAGTTAAACCTCATGAACCTCACATGGGGTGGGTGAAACTGGTTGCCTTTGCGTTGCCATAAACAGGTTGTTCTTGTTATGATGACAGCAGCTGATGTTTGTCCCCATGACTTAACCATCAGGCCCACTGCTCCTTTCAGACGTGGGCAATTGAGTATGAGCTCTTCTTCAGGATCACGGTGGGGAAAACAATCATCTAATTGATATTTGTTCAAGGAATAAAGAGCACTTCCAATGCTCACACATGTACATAATCCAGGACTTGACAAATCCCAGGAGCCAGGTAGCCAATGCTCCAGAAAATATTTAGCTGGTGCCTAACCTTTTGAGGGTTTCTCTAGTTGTTCATTTATTACAGGTATTAAAATAGCTGACAACTTATGTGGCACTTTACATAGTTGCACATTCACATCAGTCTCTGCCCTCAACGAGCTTACAATCTACGGTCCCTATCTCACATAAGGTGGCCATACACTTTA